CTAGAAGTCAGTGAATGGTTTTGCGCCAAAATACACTCACCAGCCACTTTATTAGGTACCCCATGCTAGTAACGGGTTGGACCCCCTTTTGCCTTCAGAACTGCCTCAATTCTTGGTGGCATAGATTCAACAAGGTGCTGGAAGCATTCCTCAGGGAGTTTGGTCCATATTGACATGATGGCATCACACAGTTGCCGCAGATTTGTCGGCTGCACATCCATGATGCGAATCTCCCGTTCCACCACATCCCAAAGATGCTCTATTGGATTGAGATCTGGTGACTGTGGAGGCCATTTGAGTACAGTGAACTCATTGTCATGTTCAAGAAACCAGTCTGAGATGATTCCAGCTTTATGACATGGCGCATTATCCTGCTGAAAGTAGCCATCAGAAGTTGGGTACATTGTGGTCATAAAGGGATTGACATGGTCAGCAACAATACTCAGGTAGGCTGTGGCGTTGCAACGATGCTCAATTGGTACCAAGGGGCCCAAAGAGTGCCAAGAAAATATTCCCCACACCCTGACACCACCACCAGCCTGAACCGTTGATACAAGGCAGGATGGATCCATGCTTTCCTGTTGTAGATGCCAAATTCTGACCCTACCATCCGAATGTCGCAGCAGAAATCGAGACTCATCAGACCAGGCAACGTTTTTCCAATCTTCTATTGTCCAATTTCCATGAGCTTGTGCAAATTAGCCTCAGTTTCCTGTTCTTAGCTGAAAGGAGTGGCACCCGGTGTGGTCTTCTGCTGCTGTAGCCCATCTGCCTCAAAGTTCCACGTACTGTGCGTTCAGAGATGCTCTTCTGCCCACCTTGGTTGTAACGGGTGGTTATTTGAGTCACTGTTGCCCTTCTATCAGCTCCAACCAGTCTGGCCATTCTCCTCTGACCTCTGGCATCAACAAGGCATTTCCGCCCACAGAACTGCCGCTCACTGGATGTTTTTTCTTTTTCGGACCATTCTCTGTAAACCCTAGAGATGGTTGTGCGTGAAAATCCCAGTAGATGAGCAGTTTCTGAAATACTCAGACCAGCCCTTCTGGCACCAACAATCATGCCACGTTCAAAGTCACTCAAATCACCTTTCTTCCCCATACTGATGCTCGCTTTGAACTGCAGGAGATTGTCTTGACCATGTCTACATGCCTAAATGCACTGAGTTGCCGCCATGTGATTGGCTGCTTAGAAATTAAGTGTTAACGAGCAGTTGGACAGGTGTACCTAATAAAGTTGCCGGTGAGTGTATAATACAGACTGGTACTGTATTGACAGCCAGACCTCTCGGACCTGCTGGATCAGATCTATTCTGCAGAACCAAAACAAACAAAAAGAAGCAGCTTTTAGTTCTTCTGCTCCACTAATCTGGAATAAACTCCCAGAAAACTGGAAAAGGTCTGAAAACCTCAGCTGGTTTAAATCCAGATTAAAAACATATTTTGAGATTTTTGAGATCTGAACATTATTAAAGTTTTTAGTCCAACTTTTCTTTCCAATTTAGTATTAATAAGTTATTAATTATTTTATTCTAATGATTATCTTCAATTATTTATGTTGATTAGTCATTTAATTACCTTTGAGCCATTGAAATTTATCTTTTTCATATCTACCACTTTAAATTGCCTTAGAGTAACATTAAAATGTACTATAGAAATAAACTTGCCTTAATTTTACTGTGAAACAGCGTAAAAGAAAAACAGCTGGGAATTCTCTAACATTACGTGCATGGTTATAAATGAAAGGTTTAAAATATAAAGTTGATATTTAGTAAAAAACTTCCATCTGGTGCCAGCAATTGAAAGGAGGATCCCTGTATGTCAAAGAGTATTTAGAGTAACCAGAAACATGATTCATGCTCCATGATGTGTCCCTGTCATGCTGCACCGTCATCTGTTCCTCATCCCTTCACTGTCGTTGCATCTTCATCGCTGAAGCTTGTTAAACGTGTCCTCTGTCGATGTTTTCCGAGTCTGCATGCAAATGTATTTGTATGCAAACACTCAGACGTGAACAACATTAGACCTCCTTTTCTTGACAGAAAGAGAGCAGCAGGACGGCGCTGCACGTTAAGCACACTTGTTCCAGACAGGAAGAAAATGAAAAAAATCTCAGCCTGTCATAAAACCAACGCATCAATAAAGACACTGAATGTGTTGTTTTTATTCATAGCAGAAGTTCATTATGAACAACATCACTTTGCATCATTAATGTACAGCTGGAGGGCTAATTGTGCACTGCAAAAATGATCTAGAAATAAGTTAAAATTTCTTAAATTAAGTGTATTCACCCTTAATTTGAGTAGGTAAATGAGATAGTTTGCCAATGGAATGAGTAATTTTACTCTTAAAATAAGATAATTAGATAATATGCACTAGAAATAAGACAATGAAATTGTGTTTTCTTATTTTAAGTTTAAATTGTCTCGTTCCATTGGCAAAATGTCTCTTTTACCTCTTCAATCCAAGTACAAATGCACTTATTTTAAGAAAAAATGACTAATCTAGATTTAGATTTTTTGCAGTGTGAAGAACATGAGATTGCCTAAAAGTCAAAACTATTCAGAGGTTATTGCTTTTAGGTTTTGGATGTTTTTATCTTGATAAAAAAATTTGTTACAAGGCTAATTTGTGTTACCTCAGCACATTTAAAATGTATGGAAGCCTAGAGAGGTCCAACTCGACTTTATTTTTCTATTTTCTCCTTTTACCTTCTCGAGATAATGACATAACCATCTTGTTAACACGGCTAAACCATTAATTGTTTTCAGATTGATAGATAACCAAGTTTTTTAACTTAAATGTGAAATTTTTATATATTTCTTAACAATTCTGATATAATTACAGCTCTAAGTGTGTCGCTTTGTCAGCTACACTGCAAAAACGATCTAGAAATAAGTCAAAATGTCTTAAATAAAGGGCATTTACCCTTAATTTAAGCAGAAAATAAAGAGGATTTGCCAATGGAATGAAGATTTTTACTTTCAGAATAAGGAAATTAGATGATATACACTTGAAATAAGACAAAGAAACAGGGTTTTCCTTATTTTAAATGTAAATTGTCTTGTTCCAATGGCAAATAGTTTCACTTACCTCCTCAATTCAACAAAAATCGCACTTGTTTTAGGAAAAAATGACTTATCTAGATTAAGATTTTTTCCAGTGTACACTGGAAAAAATCAAGATCTAGATAAGTAATTTTTTCTTAAAACAAGTGCATTTGTTCTTGAATTGAGGAGGTAAAAGAGACATTTTGCCAATGGAACAAGACAATTTACATTTAAAATAAGAAAAACACAATTGCATTCTTATTTCAAGTGCATATTATCTAATTATCTTATTTTAAGAGTAAAAATACTAATTTCATTGCAAACTATCTCATTTACCTACTTAAAATAAGGATAAATACACTTAATTTAAGAAATGTTTACTTTTTCTACATCGTTTTTGCAGTGTGTGACCCCTAGGGGGTCCACAGAGGTACTGCATAAGTTTTGGTTGATTAGACCCCCTCCAATTTTTTCCACTAATTGAAATGTCTTTAAATCCACATGAACATGAATCCAACAGACTGTAGTAAACAGATAAATGGAGGCAGACGATGTCTTTCAGTCATCAATGCTAACATTCAGCGACACACAGGAGCTCTTTCAAGCTGGACACCGTTTCATTCACAACACCTGTCCCATAGACCAGAAATACTTTAAAAATCCCAGGGAGGGATTACTTTAGTTACATTACTCCATCTGTAATAGAATGACTATAGGAGCAGTTTGATAGAACACAATTTAATAACATTTAATATAATCAACCATCAGTTTGGGGTCCTTAGCCTGGAAAAGACCCCTGATTTAGAGTCTCTATGCACCAGTTAACGATTAGTCGATTACTAAATTAACAATAAACATTGAGCTGAGTCTCCAAACTACGGAAGCTGAGAGCAGTCATATGCAAATACACTTAATTTAAACATTTTGTACTTCTTTCTAGATCATTTTTCCAGATTATGAATCAGAAGTGGAAGCAAATCAAACCAACAACGTCGTCTCGTTGGCTAAAAGTTAAACACTGGATTATTTACAGGATTATATTACATATAGGCTGCCATGACTTCTAAATCCTCCCCCGCTGTTGTGGTATCAGTTTTAACACTGATCATCTCGTTACACTGCAAAAAATCTAAATCTAGATAAGTCATTCTTTCTTAAAATAAGTGCATTTGTTCTTGGATTGAGGAGGTAAAAGAGACATTTTGCCAATGGAACAAGACAATTTACACTTAAAATAAGAAAACTCAATTGCATTGTCTTATTTCAAGTGCATATTATCTAATTATCTATATTTAAGAGTAAAATTACTCATTCCATTTGCAAACTATCTCATTTACCTACTCAAATTAAGGGTGAAAATAACTTAATTTAAGACATTTTTACTTATTTCTAAATCGTTTTTGCAGTGTGTGATGAGAAAAGGGCTTTAGTTACACTGGAAAAACGATCTAGAAACTTAATTTGAGCTGGTAAATGAGATAGTTTGCCAATGGAATGAGTAGTTTTACTCTTAAAATTGTTTAATTAGATAAAATGCACTTGAAATAAGACAATGCAATTGTGTTTTCTTATTTTAGATGTAAATGTTCTTCTTTCGCTGGGAAAATATCTCTTTTACCTCCTCTATCCAAGAACAAATGCACTTATTTTAATAAAAAATTACATCTAGAATTAGATTTTTTCTAGTGCATCTTTCGAAAATAACTTGTTTTCTCGAGAAAACCACCGTGAAAAAATATCATGGCTTCCTCTCAGCTGCAATAGAAATGTGATCAGCATTAATTAATGTTATTTTCTCTCATTTTTTCTGCAGTTCTATTCTGGGGCAGTTTATAACTCATTAGTGCGGCGTTTAAAACCTGCCAAAAAACCCTGATGTGTTAAAGGCTTTTTGATAAGATGCAGAAACATGTTGCTAAAAAGGATTTTCTCTTTTTTTTTTTATAAACAGGCTGAGGGGTCCTCCTTCCTACAGATGGGAGCTTCTCTGGAGCAGCAGGTCATTTGCATGTTCAAGGTATGGAAATACTTTGAGTCAAATCTCCTTTGGACCCTAGTGGGCGAAAAAAAGGTTATTATAACAATTAGAGGGTCAGTCGTTACTGCTGGGACCGTTAAAGGCCGATTAACAGCGTGAACGGAAATCCCGAGGGTCAGCGGGGGAATCCCTGATTGGGAATTCTGGCCTAATTTTCACAAACGGGTCCAATCAGGATTAATGGTGGATTGTAGATATTCTCATGGGGCTAGAAAGAGTTATTATCAGATGTGTTTAGAAGTCAATCTTATAATCCCGCCAACGTCTGTTTGATCATAACCTCTCATTGGTCACAGGGACGAACATTTATCATATAGAGACAGATATCTGAGAGAACAAATAAAAGCAAATCAACATTTATAAAGCTATGGTTGATTTGGGGATTTATTGGAAATATACCACAAGTTTTATTTATTTATTTATTTTTATTAATTTTGTTTTGATTAATATTAAAATAGCCCCTCAGACGTGTTACCAGTTGTTCTTCTAAAGGAAAAGTCCGGTCAGCAAGGAATAAGCAATGGATCATTATTTATACCTAAAACTAATACGTTAAGTGATTTCATGGATTTAGCTTCAATCTCGAACAATTTTTATGCGATCTTTGAGCATTCATTTTTTCTCAAAGATCGTAACACCTCCCTCCTGCCATCTTCCGGCAGTGAGGAAGCTGCTCAGAATTAGGGAAATCCAGAAGGAAACCTGGAAAAAACTTGAGAAACTAAAAAAAGCTTGAGAAACAGTCCTTGTATTGCAATCAACCAGTGTTGTAGTACTCGAGATCGGTCTTTGTCTCGAGACCGTTTTTTGATGGTCTCGGTCTCGTCTCGGACTTGACCGCATTTGGTCTCGGTTTTGTCTCGGGCGCTGAGGACTCGGCATTTTATTTCAAGACCAGTCAAGACCACAACTGTGGAAATAACGCTAATCATCAGAATATTATCAGTTTCTTTAAGATCCTTCTTTTTATTGGATGTTTGGATTCAAATCCAAGCAATAACCTGTCTCATTGGTAAATGCATGTTTTTTTTGTTTGTTTGCTTTTTACCGCTGTCCCGCCCACCCCCTTTCACCTGCGCGTGGGCTGCAGCACTTCGATTGAAAGTCACAAGTGGTTGTCTGAGAACGGGATAAGATGTCGGCCAAATCATCAGTTATAAAATTCGGCAATTTAAATCAGAAAGAATATATTTGTAAAGCAACATCGAGGAAAAAAGTATACAGAATTTCATGCTGTGATTACTACACAGAAGTACTAAATAAAGATGTTAATGTTTATTCCAGTTCTGTGTGTTAAATATCTAGGTGTTTTTATGTGAATGTGGGTCTTTTAGATCAGTTTTTGTGATTTTGATCATGTTACACATTTTATTGTCACATACTGGCGCTGGTCTTGGTCTTGACTCGGTCTCGACTTCCCTCGGTCTTGGTCTTGACTCGGTCTCGACTTCCCTCGGTCTTGGTCTTGACTCGGTCTCGACTTCCCTCGGTCTTGGTCTTGACTCGGTCTCGACTTCCCTCGGTCTTGACTCGGTCTCGACTTCCCTCGGTCTGGGTCTTGACTCGGTCTCGACTTCCCTCGGTCTTGGTCTTGACTCGGTCTCGACTTCCCTCGGTCTTGACTCGGTCTCGACTTCCCTCGGTCTGGGTCTTGACTTGGTCTCGACTTCCCTCGGTCTTGGTCTTGACTCGGTCTCGACTTCCCTCGGTCTTGACTTGGTCTCGACTTCCCTCGGTCTTGGTCTTGACTCGGTCTCGACTTCCCTCGGTCTTGACTTGGTCTCGACTTCCCTCGGTCTTGGTCTTGACTCGGTCTCGACTTCCCTCGGTCTTGGTCTTGACTCGGTCTCGACTTCCCTCGGTCTGGGTCTTGACTCGGTCTCGACTTCCCTCGGTCTTGGTCTTGACTCGGTCTCGACTTCCCTCGGTCTGGGTCTTGACTCGGTCTCGACTTCCCTCGGTCTGGGTCTTGACTCGGTCTCGACTTCCCTCGGTCTTGACTCGGTCTCGACTTCCCTCGGTCTTGGTCTTGACTCTGTCTCGACTTCCCTCGGTCTTGGTCTTGACTCGGTCTCGACTTCCCTCGGTCTGGGTCTTGACTCGGTCTCGACTTCCCTCGGTCTTGGTCTTGACTCGGTCTCGACTTCCCTCGGTCTGGGTCTTGACTCGGTCTCGACTTCCCTCGGTCTGGGTCTTGACTCGGTCTCGACTTCCCTCGGTCTTGACTCGGTCTCGACTTCCCTCGGTCTTGGTCTTGACTCTGTCTCGACTTCCCTCGGTCTTGGTCTTGACTCGGTCTCGACTTCCCTCGGTCTGGGTCTTGACTCGGTCTCGACTTCCCTCGGTCTTGGTCTTGACTCGGTCTCGACTTCCCTCGGTCTGGGTCTTGACTCGGTCTCGACTTCCCTCGGTCTGGGTCTTGACTCGGTCTCGACTTCCCTCGGTCTTGGTCTTGACTCGGTCTCGACTTCCCTCGGTCTTGGTCTTGACTCGGTCTCGACTTCCCTCGGTCTTGGTCTTGACTCGGTCTCGACTTCCCTCGGTCTAAGTCTTGACTTGGTCTCCGGTTAGGTGGTCTTGGCCACAACACTGCAATCAACATCAGTTAAACATTTTAAACACTTGTTAAAGTCCTTGCAAACTGAACAGGAATGTTAATATCTAGATGTGAAAATCAGCAGAATGGGAAAAGATTTCAATGTGACACCTTTTTTTTTTTTTGCACTGTGGGAATTTGCCACCATAGTTATTTAAGACCCTGATTTTTTAAAGTTTGATCTTTCACCTGCAAATTGACCAAGTTATGCTTTCCTTTCAGTCTGAACCGTTCCTCTTTACTCAGCAGCAGGTCCTTAGTATCAACCGGCGGGTGAAGTTGCTAGTTGACCCAAATGCAGAGATTAGTTCTTGTTGATCAAATAGGGCAACTGAGGCAGACATCCAAAACTGCAAAAATACAAAATACCATTAATACTGATGTGTTGGTGCATGGAGCGGACCCCATAGAGCAAAACACTGCATTGGTGCGCTACTGATTCAAGAAGGTCATGTGACCGATACGAGAGTTGTTTCTAACTGACTGACTCACTTTAAAAAACGTATCTGTCAACATGATGCATCTGCTTTTGCGTTTTTTTATTAAAGTTATCCAGAATTTTGGAGCAGCCTAAAAGAAATAGGAACGTTTCTGCCGTTGAGTTTTTATTTTCATTTTCTGGTTGTGTCATCCTGTACCTCTCAGTTATCACTCAACTCATCTGAAACTAAGTTAATTTCAAACTGACTCTTAGTTTATTTACCGTTTTTACTGTACTTATTGTTTTGAAATTATTATTTAAATTCCTAGTCCACAAGCATCCTCATTCACATTTTCACAATATGATTTATGTTTACATTATTTATTGGCTGCATCTAAAATGATTGAAGATATTTTCAATTTAAACAAAGATATGAAATAATACAATATAACCTACAATAACTCAAATGATATCATTGTTCTAGGTCATCAAATCATTTCTGTTTAGTCTGTCCAATAAGCTGCCTGTAGTGTCTGCAGAGGTGGAGTATATAAGGGGAACAGAACAAAGGATGGGGTAATGAGCTGAATATGGAGCAGGTGTGAGTAGAAGGAAGCCGAGGGGAAAGGAAACAAACACAAGGGGGCAGCAGAGAGTAACTAAAGATTGCTTGAATATAATGGAAAATAAACCAAAGATCACCAAAACAGAATAACTAAAAACTAAATACTCAGAGTCCCAAAAGGGGAGAAGCAGAGTTTCATCCATGATGCGGCGCCATATTTATAACGTTTAACTTTTCATGTCTGCATCAGATCTTGGAGGAATACGACTGGGCCGAGTTTGCAGTGATCACCAGCTTGCTGCCGGGCTACGACACCTTCGTGGAGATAGTCCAGTCGTACACAGACACGTCCTACTTTCTATGGAATCTGCAGGATATCATGTCTCTGGAAATGTCTGTTGGTGCCAATGATTTGAAGACCAAACGGATGCTGCAGCAGGTAAACTTCAACTGCAACAGAAAATATGCCAAAGCCAGCAGCTCTTATCCTTTACAAAACTCATATCTGAATTCTGACTTTAATCACAGAATTCTGACAGCTAACAAACATGCTAGCATCAAGTCGTAGCCATGTCTGTTTTAGAGAATAGCTCTCTTGTTTTAATCACCTTCTGCTCTTCCATTAATCAAACAGCATCAGCAGGGATCCCTCAGGGACTTAAAAAGTCTCCTAATTCCATCATTTTCCACCCAAACTACTCACATCTTTGTCAGTGAAGCTGAGAGCTCCACATCTCTGCCTTCATGGTGCCAACACTGAAAAAAACGATCTAGTAATAAGTAAAAATTTGTTAAAATAAGTGTATTTACCCTTAATTTGAGTAGTTAAATGAGATATTTTGCCAGTGTAATGAGTATTTTTACTCTTAAAATAAGATATTTAGACAAAATGCACTTGAAATAAGACAATGCAATTGTGTTTTTCTTATTTTTAGAGTAAATTGTCTTGTTGCATTGGCAAAATGTCTCTTTTACCTCCTCAATCCAAGAGAAAATTCTTATTTTAAGAAAAAATGACTGATCTAGATTTCAATTTTTTCCAGTGCATCTACATTAAGATCCAGAGTTCTGAGATTAAAATCAGAATTCTGTCTTTTTTCCCCATATTAAACTGAAAAAATATTTAAAAAATTAGATAACTTTTTAAATTTTTTCAGTGGCCCTTCTTAGGTTCATTCAATCACTGCAAAAATTGTAAATCTAAGTAAGTAAATTTTTCTTAAAACAAGTGCATTTCTTCTTGAATTGAGCAGGTAAGTAAGACTCTTTGCCAATGGAATAAGACAATTTACATTTAAAATAAGAAAAAAAGACTATAGTTTCTTACTTCAAGCGCATAATATCTAATTTATCTTATTTTAAGGGTAAAAATGCTCATTCCATTGGCAGGTCCTCTTATTTTCCTACTCAAATTTAAGGTAAATACACTTGTTTAAAGACATTTTTACTCATTTTCAGAACGTTTTTGCAGTGATCATGATTATTAAAGTAATGTGTGTTCATATGAAACATTGTAGAAATGAGATGCTCCACTCCTGTCTCATGATTCAGTCAGGAGACCATCCTGCCTTGTCATTCTTGTAGAGCATTCTGTCTTTATGAACTGATCAATTGTTCTGTCAGAACAATACTCTGTTTGTAACCATGTGTCATGTTCTGTTAATAAAATGCTCTGCAGAGGAGGTCCGGTGTGAGACAATGTGTTTGAGTCTGGGGTTCAACTGTCTCCTTCTGCAGAAGCCGTATGAAAATCCCTTACTGTGTATTAGAGACTGACACGGGAGTGGATTTTCACTCCTGTCCCGTCCCACTCCCACAGAAAAAAAAATGTGTCCCGTCCCGATCCCGGGCCAGAGTAGAAATCTATATCCTGTCCGGTCCACTCCTGGTGAAATTACTCCCACTCCCATCCCGCTCCCATTCTTGTTTTTGAGCGCAGGTGAAAAACTCAGAGCGGAAGCACTGTTGGTTTTTGGGTCGTGTAGTTTTGTTGACTTGCATTATAGTGTAGGCTTCAAGGAAAAAAACTACAAAATGGCGGCGCCAGTACTGGATTTTTTTTTCTTTCTATTTTATTTTATTTTTTGGCATCGATCCTAGTTTTTTTTAGTTACTATTGGTTTGCTCCCGCTCCCGTCTGCTCCCGTTAATGTTTAATCCTGTACCGTCCCAATCACGTAATCGTTACTAATACTGACTCCCATCCCACGGAAATCCCACGGGAATCCCACGGGAATCCCGTGACCCGTGGGATTCCCGAAAAAATGTCAGTCTCTACTGTGTGTTTCAGTTCTTCTTTTACAAACCTACATTTTTGAACCCAACAGCCCTAATCCTCTTCCGTAGAAAGAAAACCAGGATTTCTTAGATTTTTTTTAGGGTATCTTGCTTTCTAATTATTCTTACTGCTTTTACTATCGTTTAAAATTGGAATTTAAATTCTTAGATTTCAGTTTCTGATTTTTGTAAAACAAATTGATATACACTGAAATGTCCTTTAAAACCATTTTAAATGCCGAGCAGCTGAAGTTATTGGGCTGGAGGACATGAAGAAGTTATAAATCCAACACTGTGTCACACAAAAAAAATATATTTTTCTTGTCTTTTTGTTTTGCAGTTGGACTCCCAGGTCCTGCTGGCGTACTGCTCCCATGAGGAGGCGCAGTACCTGTTTGGTCTAGCAGGCGAGTTGGGTCTGCTGGGGCCCGGCTACATCTGGATACTCCCCAGCCTTGCTGTAGGCAACCCCAATAGCCCCCCACCTGCCAGCTTCCCTGTGGGTGTGATTGGTGTGATCACGGACCAGTGGAGGAAGAGCTTGAGGCAGCGGGTGAGGGAGGGGGTTGCCATTGTAGCTAAAGGGGCAGAAAGTTTCAAGAAGGTTCATGGTTTCATTCCTGAAGGACATGGAGACTGCAGTAAACCAGCGAAACCATCAGATAACACCACGCTGTTCAGGTAAGCCATGTCTCATTCTAAACCTCTTCATTTTAAGCTGTTTCATCTTATATTTGCTTAACTTAGTGTTGTTTTAAGGTTTGCACCAAGGTGTATGAAATTCATCCCTAAATTCAGCTACACAGAAAAGAAAATCCCAAAAAAAATCTAAATGAGTAATTTTTTCTTACAATAAGTGCTTTTTTTCTTGAATTAAGTAGGTAAGTGAGACACTTTGCCAATGAAACCATACAATTTACGTTTAAAATAAGAAAAAAACAACTGCATTGTCTTATTTCAAGTGCATTTTATCAAATTATTTTAATTTAAGAGTAAACATACTCATTGGCAAATCATATGAGTTACCTACACTGCAAAAACGATCTAGAAATAAGTAAAAATTTCTTAAATTAAGTGTATTTACCCTTAATTTGAGCAGTTAAATGAGATGTTTGCCAATGGAATGAGTAATTTTACTCTTAAAATAAGATATTTAGATAATATGCACTTCAAATAAGACAATGTAATTGTGTTTTCTTATTTTAAGTGTAAATTGTCTTGTTCCATTGGCAAAATGTTTCTTTTACCTCCTCAATTCAAGAACAAATGCACTTTTTAAAAAAAAGACTTATCTAGATTTAGATTTTTTGCAGTGTAAATTCAGCTAAACAAAAAAAAATCAAAAACAAAATCTAAATGAGTAATTTTTTCTTACAATAAGTGCTTTTTTTCTTGAATTAAGGAGGTAGGTGAGACACTTTGCCAATGAAACGAGACAATTTACGTTTAAGATAAGAAAAAAACAGTTGCATTGTCTTATTTCAAGTGCATTTTATCTAATTATTTTAATTTAAGAGTAAGCATACTCATTCCATTGGCAAATCATGTGAGTTACCTACTCAAATTAATGATAAATACACTTAATTTAAGACATTTTTGCTCATTTCTAGATAATTTTTGAAGTGCAGGCCAAATGTTACACTGGAAATAACTAAATATTTCTTAAATTAAGTGTATTTACCCTTAATTTGAGTAAGTGAATGAGTATTTTTACTTTTAAAATTAGATATTTAGATAATATGCACTTGAAATAAGACAATGCAATTTGTGTTTTCTTATTACAAATGTAAATTGTCTTGTTCCATCGGCAAAATGTCTCTTTTACCTCCTCAATCTGCGAACAAATGCACTTATTTGAAGACTTATCTAGATTTCGATTGTTTCCAGTGTATGACACAATATTAAATGTATAGAAAAAATATCAGTTTTATTTTTGTAACTATGACAGACTTGCACTGGAAAAACGATCTATAAATAAGTAAAAATTTACCGTTCATTTGAGTAGGTAAAGGAGATACTACCCCCTCAAACCAAGAACAAATGCACTTATTTTAAGAAAAAATGACAAATCTATATTTCGCTTTTTTCCAGTGTGTTTTATACAAATGTCACTGCACTTTTTAGTCATGACTACTATTTTACTTTGAAACCAGAATTGTCAAATGCAGTCAAGATTTCCTAGAAAATGAGTTTAAAACAACACGATTTAATTGGGTTCTGAAAGAAAGTTCAGAAACTGACGCTTTAAAACCCAGTGTTTGAATTTAACCAAAAAAAAAGAGAGAAAACTATTTTTTTCTAAGTTTGGTTTACTAGATTTACTTAGTTTTTTTCTCTCTGTTGATTTGTAAAAATGAAGTTCCTATAAAACAGAAATATTTTGAAACCAGGTTTGACAGGATGACTTTACTGAGCTTTGATTTCAGCCGCTCACACTGAGCCTGGTTCTGCTGGAGGTTTCTTCCTGTTCAAAGGGAGTTTTTCCTCTCCACTGTCGCTACAAGCATGCTTAGTGTGAGGGATTGCTGAAGAGTCAATGAGTCGATGCAATCAGCTGGTTTTCCTTAGATAGAAAACTTTGAATCAATCTGACTGGATGATCTGGTGAACTGGAAAGTGACCTGAGATGACATGATGTGAATTGGAGCTATAGAAATAAACTGAATTGATTTCAGACCTTCTGTACCACCTAAGCCTCCAGGTAATCTCACTTAAAGTGTGCCTAATTTCAGCATTTATCAACACACCAACAGAAATTAGGTACCGTCTACTTAAACGTTAATATTTCCAATACCTGACGGCTTCAGGATGGAGTCCAAGTCGTGATCTGCCGTATTACAAACGGCGCCACCATCCAGTCTGCCTCCCTGACTGTTTGACACTACGTCACACAGATGCGCATGATTAGTCAGAATGAAATCGCTTAGTTTTCTAACAGAAAACATAACGATAGTTTATATTCACTTAGATTTACTAAATAATTTTGAACATCTCACTGTTTTCCTTCTTTTGTTCTGAAAGATGCTGGTGAAGATTCATCCAGGACATAGTCATTCCAAAAAAGTTAAAATACAATCCATTGAACTTTCTTTCTAAGTTTGAAGACGTTTTTTAATAAAAAATGTCAGAAATAGCATTGAGTTCCAGGTTTTATCCAGCAGCCCAACAAAACCTTTTTGTTTAGAAAACATGCAAATAGAAACGGATGAACGGGCCCCCCCCTTTGGAATGGGGGTCGTTTGGCTTCTTTGTTAGCCTGCAATGCTCCATACCTGTCTATGTCTCTGAAGGGGGGTCGTTAGAGGGAATTGTTGGCCTGGTTGAATAGGAGAGGTCTTCTGTTCCTTTTTAAGGGGGATGAAAGCGGTAACAGCAGCTGACAGCAGCTTTGATTAACCTTTTTTCTGAAAGATTAAAACAGGATCTGAAAAAAAACCCAGGATTTATCAGGTATAATGTTGTTAATTTGCAACTTAATATGTAAAAGAGATTTTAAATGATTGTCTTGGATTAGCTTCTGCTACGTTCCAATCACAAGCAGCAAATGCAGCAAAAACGCGCGTGCTGCTTCATTTTTTATGCTTGTACAAGTTTAGTTCTGACATGCGGCTGAAGTATTATTGCTGCTCTGGCTGCGTGGTCGGAAAGCCCAAAATTTATTTTCTTAACGTCACTTATTCTGTTATATTTATAAACTTTAGGGTTGATCAGAGTATTATTGTTGTGAGTGTTGTTTCATGCTTTTTTCCATGTATTTCTGTTTTAGGCACATGCTGAATGTAACATGGGAAAGAAAAGAGCTGTCGTTCAACAATCAAGGGTTTCTTTCCAACCCCTCTATGGTCATCATCGCATTGGACCGGGAGAAACTGTGGGACAAGGTAACCCGACAAGCTTCACAAACTGCAAAAAATCAAAATCTTGATAAGTAATTTTTTCTTAAAATAAGTGCATTTGTTCTTGAATTGAGGAGATAAAAGAGACATTTTGCCAATAGAACAAGACAATTTACACTTAAAATAAGAAAGCACAATTGCATTGTCTTATTTCAAGTGAATATTATCTACCCTGAAAATGCACATGCACAACCCTGTGCAGGGTTGTGCATGTGCATTTTCTGTGCATTTTCTGTGCATTTTCTTTTTTAAGTGGAGAGGGCGGGTCTTTTCAAAAATTCCCGAAAATCCTCCATTATACCTTTAAAATGTAAAAAAGCTTTGGTGTCGGGACATTAATAAAATGTCTAACAGATACGTCACCAATAATGCAGCAAAAAGGGAGGTTTCTATTTATTAAAATCAAGGAGACTTTATTTATTTAAATATTCAGATAAGTTACATGTTAAACAGAAACTGTCCTAGAAAGCATTTCCACACTTGAAAAAATTGAAATCTAGATAAGTCATTTTTTCTTAAATTAAGTGCATTTGTTCTTGCATTTAGGAGGTAAGTGGGACACCTTGTCAATGTAACAAGACAGTTTACATTTAAACCCTAACCCTTATTTCAAGTGCATATTGTCTAATTATCTTATTTTGAGAGTAAAAATACTCATTGGCAAATCATCTTATCTACCTGCTCAGATTAAGGGTAAATATACTCAATTAAAGACATTTTTACTTATTTCTAGATCGTTTTTGCAGTGCAGGTGTCAGTCTATATTTTGATCATTTGATTTTCTTTTAGCTGTTTGATTTTTATTCAAAAATACAGAAATTGAAATATTTTTTGTATCACAAAAAAAACTTTAACTTTATAAAAAAAAATTTAGAGTTTTTTTTTTCCATTTACAAAAATATAAATCACTATAAACAGAAATATACTCAGACCAGTTTGAACTGGGTTCCACTGTTGGTTTATCTCAGAATGAATGTCTTTAAAATTTTACTGGTTTTGATTTTAGACCTTATTTTCCTCCCTAACCTCCAGAAAATCAAAAATCTCCTCATTGTTCCTGTAGAGCAGGGCTCACCAACCTTTTTAAGGCTGAGGGCTACTTCATGGCTACCGAGTCATAGGAATGGCTACCAGTACTGACCTATGAACTGGAGGGATCAGTGTTCATCTACAGTAAATCTCATCCATAAAAACTAGGGCTGTAACGATACAAAAAACACGCGATTCGATACATGCAACGATTTTTTTCACATTTCAATATTATTTTATTTAAAGCTACAGTGTGTAACTTTTAGCAACATCTAGCGGTCACACTGCAGAACATCTCCCCCCCACCGCTTCTCCCCCCCAACAGTACGGCGAGCGTTACGGGACAAAATGTCTTCCACGACGTCCGCACCACCTACCTTCTCAAGTGATGAGGTTTGTTTACATAGATAATTTTACAGATAGTATTTCATTAGTCTGTGTAGGGTATAGATTTCATGTAGACTTAAGATAATAAATATAACCGTTATTTTTTCTACATCGTTGTGACATTTTGGCGATCTCGCAATCACTAGTTTGTTGGCTCTGCGCTGCCGTAGCGCAAAGATGTCTGCCTCCATGGCTGCGAGACCCGCTCCTATGTAATTATAAATAACGAATTCTAAGGCAACGCAAATATTAAGGTTAAGAGGCTGAGCTCGTAGAAGATGATAAATAACATAGTTATGTATAATATATTACATTTCTGACTGTATATCCCTGTAATTATTACACACTGTAGCTTTAAATAAAATATAACATCTAACATATTGTAAATATCTAGAATGTATTTGAACACAGAATAACCACAATGAAAGAGCAATAACCAAAAATGTAAGATTTATCTCTCGTCTTATATTGTCTAACAAAATAAAGCTTTTTAAAAATAAAAATAATTGTACTGTGCTGCTGTGTTAACCAAAAATGAGCTTAAAAAGCAAATAAACACAGCTTCATCAAACCTGTTTGGTTTATTTAAAACTATATAAATATTATTTTTATCTATTTGATATCAGCGTATGAAAATATATTTGAGTATATTATTTTTCAAAGTGTCAGAAATGGATAACAAAACTGCTATTTTCAATGACTACTTATTTTTGTCCAGCTTTAACATCGGTATCGATATCGGTTATCGGCTACATGAGTTTTAAAATATCGGATATCGGCCAAAATCCCAATATCGTGCATCCCTAGTTTCTTGCGTTGTCAGTTGTCACGGGAACGGGGGCGTATGGTCTGCTGATTTTCCATTCTGCCACAGCGCCTTTTAGGATTTCAGATACATTTTCACTTGTATGGCTGTTAAACACGGCATGCGTTTGAAGGACAGGGTTTGCAGTTTGCCACTGGTCTGTAATATAATGTACGGTTATGGTAATATAACTATCTGTTGTACGGGACGTCCATCCATCGGTGGTAGTAGCAATTGAGTCAACGCCGCTCAGTTCTTCCTCCACTCTGCATTTTGTTTCCTTGATAAGTTTTGGAAGCACATTTTGAGAGAAAAGTGCCCGACTAGGCGCATCATAACGAGGCTCGAGCACATGAAGTAAATGCAAGTCTGTGGCAGGCAGTGGTGAGTCGGCCGACCAGCTGGGAATATTTGGTGGGTGTTGTGATCCCGCCTTCCTCCACCGCGAGACAGGATCGTGGCTCAGAGTGTCGCAATTTCGATTACCATAGGGGTATCGTTACAGCCCTAATAAAAACTCATTTTTTTCTTATTTTATTCTTTTATTCATTTCTAATTTTCTTTTTAATATTGTCCTTTTGAAACCACTGGAAAATGATGAAATAGTTAACATGATGAAATAATACATAAATGATTAAAAAGAAGAGCAACAGAATAAAAAAAAATTAAACGTAACCCACTGAGTGAGTTCTTCTGTTTTCAGAAGACGAAGAGGGCCCCCCATGTGGCCCTTGAGGGGCCCTTGGTGCCCGCGGGCACCGCGTTGGTGACCCCTGCTGTAGAACATGTTCTTCTTCACTAACTGGTGAAACCTGCACCACGTTTCATTCGGTGCTCTTGTGAAATAAGTGACCCAGTGTGAAAATGAAAGGACAGCACTGCAAAAAATATAAATCTCAATAAGTTATTTTTTCTTAAAATAAGTGTGTTTTTCCTTGATTTGAGGAGATAAGTAAGACACTTTGCCAATGGAACAAGACAATTTCCTTTTAAAATAAGAAAAAACTATTTTATCGTCTTATTTCAAGTAAATATTATCTAACTATCTTATTTTAAGAGTGAAAATACTCATTCCATTGGCAAATCATCTTATTTACCTGCTCAAATTAAGGCTAAATATACTTAATTTAAGCCATTTTTTACTTCTTTCTGGATTGTTTTTGCAGTGAGGCTAGTTATAAAGTGGTACACTGGGAAAAATGTAAATCTAGATAAGTCATTTTTTCTTAAAATAGGTGCATTTATTCTTGGATTGAGGAGGAAAAAGAGAAATTTTGTCAATGGAACAAGACAACTTGTACTTAAAATCAGAAAACACAATAGCATTGTCTTATTTCAAGTGCAAATTATCTAATTATCTTATTTTAAGAGTAAAAATACTCCTTCCACTGGCAAAGTATCTAATTTACCTACTAAAATTAAGGGTAAATACACTTAATTTAGTAAATTTTAGCTTATTTCTAGATGGTTTTTCCAGTGTAGAAAACAAAACTCAAATTATTATTAGTTTCGCTTTTTCCTTTTTGAAAAAGAAATGAAATGTTAGTAATTTAAAACAAAAATCGAATATCCATCTTTTTTGATTTTCTAATGCAGTGTTTAAAAGGAAAATCAAGTTTTCAACATAAACACTGATCCTGAAATCGGATTGGAGGTTCGTTCTACTCTTATCACAGCAAGTAAAAGGCCAAATATAGATGATATCACTCTGAGCCATATGGCCCTGACTGTGTTTCTGCTCGCTGACCCCTGTGCAGATTCCTCTGCTCCTATTCACATTTCACCAAAATACATTTTCCTTTTTTTAGCATGGGTTTTGAATAAAAATATTCAAAAAAAATTCTGGGTTTCTGCAGATAAAATAAAGAATATTTGCTGAAAATGTAGCATGTTTTCACTCATCGGAAACTTCCTAAAGTCAGACATTTAATCCAAGCAGAAATGATTCTCTAGATTTAATTTCTGATCAATATAATGAAAATCAAGAGAAATTAATTTTCTTTTTAAGGTGTCAAAGAAATATCCATTAGAAAAGAAAAACTGTTGAAGTTCCTTTGATTTGGACCTTGAAGTATAATACACAAACGTAGATATGATATATTCTGTATAGTTCAACAAGAAAAAGAAAAGTTTAGAAAATAAATAAAGCTGCAAAATCTGGTGTAAGAAGTCTTTACACTGCAAAAAATATAAATATAAATCTAAATATGTCATTTTTAATATAAATAAGTGCATTTTTCCTTAAATTGAGGAGGTTAGTGAGACACTTTGCCAATGGAACAAGACAATTTACTGTTAAAAAAGAAAAGAAAAACCAAATCTGGTCAAATCTACATCCGCTCTACACTATGCGTATTTCCTGTTTGGTACCTTCCAGGCTTGTTTTGTTTGTCTGACCGCCATTGTGGAAAAATGTGAAGATGGACCAGCTAGAAGAGCGAGATGCACCAGAACGCTGGGACCCTTTTTTCACCTGGATCCCCGCTCTTTTTGGCCCTCATGTCCCTCCATTGTCGCACAAACTTGCCCCCACTTCCTCACCGCCTCAACCGTATCTTGACCAACAGGTAGTTCCTGATTGTCCGTCTTGCATTGTGATGTGGAATAACATAGACCATGCTCCAATATTGGGCATAAATCAAAAATATCTGCAACAAGCTCACTGCGACAGGAGGATAACCAGGCCTTAACAAACCTAGCTGTCTACGGAGAATTTAGAGAAGCCACTTAACCTAACAGTCATGTTTTTGGACTGTGGGAGGAA